CACTGCATATAGGGAGGTTCCGTTATATGGGGGCTATACGAAGACGTGGGCCTAGACAGATAATTTTCTGTTTTAGGCTGTAGTATCCATTTCGAACTTCAAATACCAAATTTGAAACAATTCTGTGAATAATGTCACTAAGATCATCAAAATACCGAATACAGGGGGTACCGTTATGTGAGGGCTATATGACAGCGTGGACCTACGTGGCTCATTTACGAAAAATAAACATGTGTGCAAAATTTCAGCCTTCTATCTCAATTCGTTCGAAAGATATCGTGATTACAACAGACAGACGGACACCGCTAAATTGACTTAGAATTTTACATTGATCAAGAATATATATACTTCGTTGGGTCTGACATGAGTATTTCGAGGAGTTACAAACAGAATGACAAAGTTAATATACCCGACATAGTATGGTGGAGGGTTTAAAAATAAAAGCTACAGGTAGTAGAACCCAAAAGAACTACAAATACCGCATTTTAAACCAATTCTATAGATAATGTGGTCTGTGGTGTGGTTGTAAAAATACAGAATATTTAGATTTAACGTTTTATAGAGGCTATACTTGAAGGTGTACCTATATAGACAAGTACTCTAAATATCAAATTCCAAAAAACTTTGTATAAAAATGTGGCTAAAATCACCAAGGTACCGAATATCAGTACCTATCATCTTAGACACAATACAAATAAAGTGAGCGGCATCCTGATTTCAACATATATTCATGAATATTCGAAATTTAACACACCCTCTTTCCCTTGGTGGGGATGTAAAAAGTCATAACAATCCAATTATCATAACGAATTTTAATTTACTAAGGGCTTATGATGACACTCAACTTTCTTCTCGATATATAATAATATTAGATTATATTGTACTACATTAAATTAAACAAGTTAAAAAGCAGTAAGTTCAGCCGGGCCGAACTTTTAATACCCTCCACCATTTGCAACGAATTTGGAAATTTTTAAAAAATAAAATCCTTAAAAAATTCTGTTAAAATTTAAAAAATACCAAATATAGCCGTTATATTGGGGTCTATACGACGTGGACATACATAGGCATTGTTTGTCATAAGCCATTACCATATTCAAATTCGAAACTTGAAATAAACTGTGAATAATGTAGCTAAAATCATCTAAATATCGTATATAAGGAGGTGCCCTTAAATTGGAGCTGTGCGAAGACCTGGACCAGCATAGACAATTTTCTGTCACAGGCTGTAGCATCCATTACGAACTTCAAATACCACATCTCAAACAATTTCGGTGGGTATTGTACTTATAATCGTCAAAATACCGAATATAGGGAGGTACTGATATATGGGGTCTATACGAAGACCTGGACCCGCACAGACAATTTTCTGTCACAGACTGTAGTTCCCATAACGAACTTAAAATGCCAATTTTGAAACAATTTCGGTGAATAATGTCGCTAAAATCATCAAAATACCGAATATCGGGAGGTACCGTTATATGGGGGCTATACGAAGACGTGGGCCTGCACAGACAATTTTCCGTCTTAGGGTGTAGTATCCATTTTGAACTTCAAATACCAAATTTGAAACAATTCCCGTGAATAATGTCGCTAAAATCATCAAAATACCGAATATAGGGAGGTACCGTTATATGGGGGCTATATGAAAACGTGGACCTACATGGCCCATTTACGAACTTAATTTGCCTACTGGAAAAATAAACATGTGTGCAAAATTTTAGCCATCTATCTCAATTCATTCGAAAGATAGCGTGATTACAACAGACAGACAGACAGACGGACATCGCTAAGTCAAATTAGAATTTTACGCTGATCAAGAATATATATACTTTGTTGGGTCTGGAATTAGTATTTCGAGGAGTTACAAACGGAATGACAAAGTTACTATACCCTACATAGTATGGTGGAGGGTTTAAAAATAAATATATTGTTCGGTGCCGTAGAATACCAATATGGACAATGTTCAGATACAGGTAGTAGAACTACAAACACCACATTTTAAACCAATTCGATAGATAATGTGGTCTATGGTGTGGTTGTAGAAATACAGAATATGTAGATTTAACGTTTTATAGAGGCTATACTTGAAGGTGTACCTATATAGACAAATACTCTAAATATCAAATTCCAAAAAACTTTGTATAAAAATGTGGCTAAAATCGCCAAGGTACCGAATATCAGTACCTACCATCTTAGACACAATACAAGCTATTGTGCCAACAATCAAAGCTCTAAATCAAATAAAGTGAGCTGCATCCTGATTTCAAAATATATTCATGAATATACGAAATTTAATATACCCTCTTTCCCATGGTGGGGGAGTAGAAAGTCATAACAATACAATTATCATAGCGAATTTTAATTTACTAAGGGGTTATGATGACACTCAACTTTCTTCTCGATATATAATAATATTAGATTGTATTGTACTACATTACATTAAAAAAAGAACCACTACACGAGACCCACAGAATAAAATTATTAAGTCAATCGGAAGTGTGTCCGAGTGGAAATATTGATAATTTGAAATCACTATGTTGCGACATAATTCATATAGAATAACAAGTAAAAAAGCTGTAAGTTCGGCCGGGCCGAACTTTTAATACCCTCCACCATTTGGTACAAATTTGGCAATTTCCAACAAAAATAAAATAAATAAATAAATAAAATAAAAAAAATCCTTTAAAAATTCTGTTTAAATCTTAAAAATACCGAATGTCTATACGACGACGTATACCTGCATAGGCAACTTTTGTCATAAGTTATTACAACATTTAAATGCGAAACATGAAGAAAAATTTGTTTATAATGTAGCTAAAATCATCAAAATACCGAATATAGGGGGTACCGTTATATGGGGGCTATACCAAGACGTGGACCTGCACAGACAATTTTCTGGCATGGGCTGAAGTATCCATTACGAACTTCAAATGCGAAATTTAAAACAATCCCGGTAAATAATGTCGCTAAAATCATCAAAATACCGAATATCGTGGGGTACGGTATATGGGGCCTATACGAAGACGTGGACCTACATGGTCCATTTTCTGTTTTCTGCTGCAGTATCTATTACGAACTTCAAATACCAAATTTGGAACGGTTCCGTTGAATGATGTCGCTAAAATCATCAAAATACCGAATATCGGGGGGTACGGTATATGGGGGCTATACGAAGACGTGGACTACATGGCCCATTTTCTGTTTTCTGCTGCAGTATCTATTACGAACTTCAAATACCAAATTTGGAACGGTTCCGTTAAATAATGTCGCTAAAATCATCAAAATACCGAATATCGGGGGGTACCGTTATATGGGGGCTATACGAAGATGTGGACCTGAACAGATAATTTTCTGTCTTAGGCTGTAGTATCCATTACGAACTTCAAATGCCAAATTTGAAAAAATTCCGGTGAATAATGTCGCTAAAATCATCAAAATACCGAATATCGAAAGGTACCGTTATATGGGTACCACCGAAAGGTACCATTTACGAACCTAACCTGCCTACTGGCAAAATATACAAGTGTGCAAAATTTTAGCCTTCTATCTCAATTTGTTCGAAAGATAGCGTGATTACAACAGACAGACAGACAGACAGACGGACAGACACACAGACAGACAGACGGGCATGGCTAAATCTTCTTAGAATTTTACGCTGATCAAGAATATATATACTTTGTTGGGTCTGACGTGAGTATTTCGAGGAGTTACAAACGGAATGACAAAATTAATATACCCTCCATAGTATGGTGGAGGGTATAAAAACGCACATAATAGAAAAAAACTTGGGTCGTGTCATTTTTATACCCTCCACCATACTATGGAGGGTATATTAACTTTGTCATTCCGTTTGTAACTCCTCGAAATACTCATGTCAGACCCAACAAAGTATATATATTCTTGATCAGCGTAAAATTCTAAGTCGATTTAGCGATGTCCGTCTGTCTGTCTGTCTGTCTGTCTGTCTGTCCGTCTGTCTGTCTGTTGTAATCACGCTATCGTTCGAATAAATTGAGATAGATGGCTAAAATTTTGCACACATGTTTATTTTTCCAGTAGGCAGGTTAAGTTCGTAAATTGGCCATGTAGGTCCACGTTTTCATATAGCTCCCATATAACGGTACCTCCGGATTTTCGGTATTTTGATGATTTTAGCGACGTTATTCACCGGAATTGATTCAAATTTGGTATTTTAAGTTCCAAATGGATACTACACCCTAAGATAGAAAATTATCTGTGCAAGTCTATGTCTTCGTATAGCCCCCATATAACGGTACCTCCCGATATTCGGTATTTTGATGATTTTAGCGACATTATTCACGGGAATTGTTTCAAATCTGGTATTTGAAGTTCCAAATGGATACTACACCCTAAGACAGAAAATTGTCTTTGCAGGTCCACGTCCTCGTATAGCCCCAATATAACAGTACCTCCCTATATTCGGTATTTTGATGATTTTAGCGACATTATTCACTGGAATTGTTTCAAATTTGGTATTTTAAGTTCCAAATGGATTCTACACCCTAAGACTGAAAATTGTCTGTGCAGGTCCACGTCTTCGTATTGCCCCCATATAACGGCACCTCGCTATGTTCGGTATTTTGATGATTTTAGCGACATTATTAACCGGAATTGTTTAAAATTTGATATTTGAAGTTCGTTATGGGAACTACAGTCTGTGACAGAAAATTGTCGGTGCGGGTCCAGTTTCGAATTTGAATATGGTAATGGCTTATGACAAACAATGCATATGTATGTCCACGTCGTATAGACCCCAACATAACGGCTATATTCGGTATTTTTAAAATTTTAACAGAATTTTTTAAGGATTTTATTTTTTGAAAATTTCCAAATTCGTTGTAAATGGTGGAGGGTATTAAAAGTTCGGCCCGGCCGAACTTACTGCTTTTTAACTTGTTTAATTTTTAACATCGTATTTCTCAATACACAATATTTAATCACATAGTTACCACAGGGAAAATAATGAATTATTATACCAGCATTTTAGTGATGCCGCTCCCAAAGCGAATATAATGAGAATTTGTAACAAATACCCTCCCATTCTCTGCATCCACTTTACATATAGAAAGATAGATTAAGACTAATGAATGTGAATATAAATATGGCTTTAATACAATAACGAGAACTGAATAATGATCATTGGTTTATAATCGAAACTTGGTATTCATTATTGAGATTAGTCTTGTAATGTATAATTAGAGCGTTTAATACAGTCTTTCGAATAAGTATTTTGTTAAACGCAGAAAAAATGCCAAATTTGTTTCCGAGTTTATGGAGAGGCGCATGAAGTCGTGCAAGACATTTCAATGTTCTGAAATTTAGTTTTCGCATTAAATAGTGGCGTGCAACAGTGGTACGCCTAATTAATTGCGAAGATGGAGACATAATTAAGACTATATGTATTTTGTTAGGAGGCAGGTAAGTTCGTAAAATTAGTACTTATAGTTTGTAACGGGTTTTACCTACTGTGACAGAACATTGTCTATATAGGTCCATGGTTCACAATTCGATACTTGGGGTTCGTTATGGGTTCTACCTCTTGTGTCAGATTATTGTCTATATAGGTTCACATATTTCTCTAGCCACCATATAACGTAATCTCCTGATATCGTTAAATTTTCTAACGGATTTGCTTTTAATTCGGTATTTGGGGTCCGTAATGGTTTCTATCAGTTCACGTTTTCGTATAGCCTTCGCCAAATCATCGCAAAATCGACTTAGAATTTTACGCTGATCAAGAATATATATACTTTGTTGGGTCTGATATGAGTATTTCGAGGAGTTACAAACGGAATGACAAAGTTAATATACCCTCCATAGTATGGTGGAGGGTATTATAACGGAATGACAAAGTTAATATACCCTACATAGTATGGTGGAGGGTTTAAAAATAAATATATTGTTCGGTGCCGTAGAATACCAATATGGACAATGTTCAGATACAGGTAGTAGAACTGCAAACACCGCATTTTAAACCAATTCGTTAGATAATGTGGTCTGTGGTGTGGTTGTAGAAATACAGAATATGTAGATTTAACGTTTTATAGAGGCTATACTTGAAGGTGTACCTATATAGACAAATACTCTAAATATCAAATTCCAAAAAACTTTGTATAAAAATGTGGCTAAAATCACCAAGGTACCGAATATCAGTACCTACCATCTTAGACACAATACAAGCTATTGTGCCAACAATCAAAGCTCTAAATCAAATAAAGTGAGCTGCATCCTGATTTCAAAATATATTCATGAATATACGAAATTTAATATACCCTCTTTCCCATGGTGGGGGAGTAGAAAGTCATAACAATACAATTATCATAGCGAATTTTAATTTACTAAGGGGTTATGATGACACTCAACTTTCTCCTCGATATATAATAATATTAGATTATATTGTACTACATTACATTAAAAAAGAACCACTACACGAGACCCACAGAATAAAATTATTAAGTCAATCGGAAGTGTGTCCGAGTGCAAATATTGATAATTTGAAATCACTATGTTGCGACATAATTCATATAGAATAACAAGTAAAAAAGCTGTAAGTTCGGCCGGGCCGAACTTTTAATACCCTCCACCATTTGGTACAAATTTGGCAATTTCCAACAAAAATAAAATCTATATATATAAAAGAAAGTTGTGTTAGTTACTACGCTTATAACTTAAGGACCGCTGGACTGATTTTAACAATTCATACAAATTCGGAATTGTCTCCTGTCCGAAAAGGATAATATCCAAAAAAATCGCGTAAAAATATGATATATTAACATTTTCATTTTGACTTTTGAAATGTACAATAGTAATGTTTTATTTTGCATGATTTTTTTTCCATTTTGACTTACTTTTTTCTAACGTACTTTTGTAGTGTTTTTTATATTTTATTTTTGAATTCGAATATTAATACCAATTTATTTAATTGACTTGATTTCTTGAGAACTGAAATTGATGGCGGGTGACATGGAAGTGTAGTACCGAATTATGTGATGGAGAAACCGAATTGATGATATCGAAATAATTTAACGCGGTCACACCAAAGTTAAAAGATTAAGATTACTTTTTCAAAATCGCTAAAAAATCACGAAAAAGGAGATTACAAAAATTCTCAAAACGGGAAAATATCGAAAAAAAAATTTTTTTTCAATGGAATTGAATTTTAAAATAATAGTACATTCTATTGACAAACTTTGTAAGGATCTTTAAACAGTTGTTGTTATTGTTATTCCTTTTTTTCAATTTGTATTATCATATGGAATTCAGTGAATTTTTTGTGAACCAAATAAAGAACAAATTTTCACTATATTCAATTTTTCACCAAAAAAAACGAAATAAGTGCGAAATACGATGTTAACTGACATCTACCTTTCAACTCCAGGACCTACATCGTGCTTCAGCTGGCAGATGCGCACACACATAAATAATCAAAAATGACCGAATAAGCCTAATGAGGCTCATTTCAAAGCGTGGACCTACTTCTTTCATGTGACAACAATCCGTCTAATGAGAGCTCAAAATGCAAATTTTTTTGGGAGTAGAATCAGTAAAATACCAAAATATAAAGGGTGGAAAATAGTAGAGCGAATAAGACTTTTGTAAGAAAAGGATTTCTATCCTTCCAGAAATTCTTTCCAAATATTCAAGATACCTTAAATCGCTTTTGCAGGTCATAATATCGATCATAACTCACGGATAAGAGTACAACCCGATTTCATATTTATATAACCATCGTATGATTTAAGCTATTTTTGGGGTCTTCGCCACTTTCTTCTATTTTTTGGCCCTTATTTGGCATCTTTGTTTCTAAGGGGGTAGAGAACCTCTTCGCATAAAATTTTCGGAATAGGGCCCATATAGGTCTTGATCACATTCATCAATTGATTTGGTTAAAAAATTGTATTTATGCTACCCTGGGGTAAGGAACCATCATACAGATAATTGCCACATCGGAATTTCTTTAAGTAAAGTCCCCACTTTGGAGTATCCCCAAATCCACTTTCACATGTAATGTGGGGTCAGCAAAGAAAATTTTGTATTATTTTGAATTTGTAACCCCCAAGAGAATATTGGTTGGGAACGTAGATTTGGGATGTACATCTGTATGAAATAAATTGTGAAAACATGAACAAATTACAAATATAAGAAAGTAACACGGGACCGAATATTTGTTGAATCGTCTTTGAATTGTACTATGATGAAAAATTTGGACTTTATGTGGTCTCCAACTTATAATTTAAATGACAAATAAAATTAATTCCCATCTTACGGTAATGGGTATAAAATAGTAACTATATGTGACTATTCTGAAATCAGTCTGTCCTCAATTATGAGGTGGATAAAACTATTTTTACTTATTTAAATCACGTGATTTTTTTCCAGTTTGACATGCTATGTTGTTCTGCTTTATTTTTGATTAGTGCCCATATGAAGGTACCTCCTGATTTTACCATATTTCAACTAAAAATGCATAAAAATTTCAACATACCTACAAATTTAGAATTTTCTCCATGTAAAAGTACCCCCTCATTCAAAATCGGTAAAAAATCACGAAAAAGAGATCTCATTGCAAAAATTTTGAAATCGGGAAAAAATCGAAAACAATTTTCAATGGAATCGAATTTTAAAATAATAGTACATTCTATTGACAATCTTTGTAAGGATCTTTAAACATTTGCTGTCAAATATCAGAAAACAAGTTGAAGATCTTTTCAATTTGTTATTCTTCTTTTGTCATCTTTTTTTCGCATTTTAAACCAATTCGTTAGATAATGTGTTTATTTTTCCAGTAGGCAGGTTAAGTTCGTAAATTGGCCATGTAGGTCCACGTTTTCATATAGCTCCCATATAACGGTACCTCCGGATTTTCGGTATTTTGATGATTTTAGCGACGTTATTCACCGGAATTGATTCAAATTTGGTATTTTAAGTTCCAAATGGATACTACACCCTAAGATAGAAAATTATCTGTGCAAGTCTATGTCTTCGTATAGCCCCCATATAACGGTACCTCCCGATATTCGGTATTTTGATGATTTTAGCGACATTATTCACGGGAATTGTTTCAAATCTGGTATTTGAAGTTCCAAATGGATACTACACCCTAAGACAGAAAATTGTCTTTGCAGGTCCACGTCCTCGTATAGCCCCAATATAACAGTACCTCCCTATATTCGGTATTTTGATGATTTTAGCGACATTATTCACTGGAATTGTTTCAAATTTGGTATTTTAAGTTCCAAATGGATTCTACACCCTAAGACTGAAAATTGTCTGTGCAGGTCCACGTCTTCGTATTGCCCCCATATAACGGCACCTCGCTATGTTCGGTATTTTGATGATTTTAGCGACATTATTAACCGGAATTGTTTAAAATTTGATATTTGAAGTTCGTTATGGGAACTACAGTCTGTGACAGAAAATTGTCGGTGCGGGTCCAGTTTCGAATTTGAATATGGTAATGGCTTATGACAAACAATGCATATGTATGTCCACGTCGTATAGACCCCAACATAACGGCTATATTCCGTATTTTTAAAATTTTAACAGAATTTTTTAAGGATTTTATTTTTTGAAAATTTCCAAATTCGTTGTAAATGGTGGAGGGTATTAAAAGTTCGGCCCGGCCGAACTTACTGCTTTTTAACTTGTTTAATTTTTAACATCGTATTTCTCAATACACAATATTTAATCACATAGTTACCACAGGGAAAATAATGAATTATTATACCAGCATTTTAGTGATGCCGCTCCCAAAGCGAATATAATGAGAATTTGTAACAAATACCCTCCCATTCTCTGCATCCACTTTACATATAGAAAGATAGATTAAGACTAATGAATGTGAATATAAATATGGCTTTAATACAATAACGAGAACTGAATAATGATCATTGGTTTATAATCGAAACTTGGTATTCATTATTGAGATTAGTCTTGTAATGTATAATTACAGCGTTTAATACAGTCTTTCGAATAAGTATTTTGTTAAACGCAGAAAAAATGCCAAATTTGTTTCCGAGTTTATGGAGAGGCGCATGAAGTCGTGCAAGACATTTCAAT